TCACTTTGTACATGCGCTGTGCCGTCAGGATGAATTTTATTTAACTCTGTTAGTTCTTTTTTCCACAAATGAAGACACAACCGCGGTGGGATCTCTGGCGCAGTTATTCCTGCTTCAAGAAAACGATTAAAATCTGCGTTCTTAGTAAGCTGGACTTTAGCTCCCTTTGGCCACAAAATATGAGGATAACGTAAACAGAACGCTTGCAGTCTGCTAAGCTTTCACAAGTCAATTTGACTTAATAAGATGCTAGTCTGCCTGGCGTGACTTATCTAAGGAAGTAACATAATGAAGATTACAGAAATGAAAAACCGTTCACTTGCATGAGTATTCACTAATACTTAAGAAAAAGAAAACATTTTCCGTGTTTCTATACAGTTGTAGAAACATGTGTGGGAGTTTGGGAGAACTCGAAATAACGTGGAAAAACTCACCCTACGGGCTCGTTTTTCCACTGATTATTCTCATGGAAAAAATGTCTAACGAAAAGTAAAGAAAGATCTAATGAAAAGTAAAGAAAAGGAAAGAATGTTTTCTATTTCTTTTATAATATAACTCAATAAAAAGATTATTACATTGCTTCGCTTGTCAAGTTCGGCGGGAAATTTCCTGTGTTTCTATACAGTTATAGAAACACGTTTCTCGACCAATACCACACGCATACTATAAATGTTATATTATAATATTCTTTGTTACATTTTTAATTTTTGCCTCTTGGTCACTGTTCCAAGTTGACAGTGATCTGATTTCTGACTGGGCAAGCTTATTGTGAAGTATATTAGAACGAAGTATGTCCTTTGGTACTACTAGTACTAATTACCACATGCTTTAAGCTTACCTCTTCCATTATTGTATACTAATTGTGCATTTTAGAGCTGTATTCTATATAATGTATTTTCAATATATACTTTCCTTTCGATGCTAAAGGCTAATAAATGAGATGGCTATAAATAGAAGGAAAAAGGGAAGTGTTAAGCAGATTTTCCATTTTTAAGAATTGGCAGCGCCCACCCTAAGCACCCCTCCATGGCACCGCAGTTGCAATTTAATACAAGAGACACTTCCCGATAGCAATATAATCTATTGTTGGTTGGATGTTTTTCATTGCTCGAGAACAAATTCATGTTCTTGAAGTGTCTCTTCTTTTAATTTATAATGAATATTCTTACTTTTTAATTGAAGACTGAAAAGTAGATGAACGCGAAACGGCTTTATTCCAATGTTACGGGTCAATAAACATGGCGACTTCCAAATTTCCCGCCCATTCACACGATGAACAAAATATGATAGCCTGCAAACAGGCATGCGGACATTGCAGGTGGACAGTGCAGTGAGTGCACCATGTAATCGGTGCATATTTCATGGTGGTAATGCATGAGTCAATTCCAACGGTAACCATCCCCCCCCGGAACACTGCCGGGTATTTGCTCAACCAGAAGTGCCCGGGGGTTAGGCATTTGCGATCGAATCCGTGTCCGGGGGCTGCGCATTATACAGGGTAAAAGATCCCTGGACATTTGACCCCTTGTCTGAGTTGCCTCGTGGTTTCGATTTGTCATTTGTCGAATAAATGAATAGAGCTCTAGCTAGATTGCTTGTGCAAATTGTAAGGGTATGAACTTTTGACCTATTTTATGGATGATGATGATGGTTATTGGTGCCTTTGCAATTCTAAATTTCAGCCTATGCCCCTTTATACTGTTAATCATTAAACATATTATTTAAGGCTTTTTTGTTTTAAAAATTATAATATGCTCCCAAAAAGAGTGTCATACCAATTGTGACCTTGTTTGACCAGTTTGTATAATCAAGAAAGGAGCTATGAATTATCAAAAATACTCTATTAAAAAATTGTGTTTATTGTCATGTTTATGTAATAAATTTAAGGGCACAAAAATATTAGGGTATATTTATAGACTATCAAGTTCTAGTTGTGCATGTGGTTATGTAGAATCCTTTTTCATCTAGAAAATGAAATTGATGGTGATGCATTTTCTTTATTGACACATGATGCAATGAGTGCCATGATAAAAAAACAAGGACTTCTGTTGAAATTTAAAAAAAAGTATGAAAGTCTTAAAAATGAAGATAACAGTATTAACTGTTCTTCAAGAAGCACCAGCAGTTCTGAAAATCTGTCAACTATTTTTGATGACCCAGCCCCAGGTGTCATTCATACACCTCAGCAGACAAGTTTCCAGACAGCATTGAGCCCAGATATCTTGAAAGAGCAGTCAAAAATTTATGGCAGATTTAAGGACAATGCTAAACTATCAGCTTGGCAAAAAGCAGTGAATGATGCAGCATTTCAAGTGGTCAATGAAACACCAGACCAATTATACGACCGAAGCCAGCTAAAGTTAAGTGCTGAGAGCCTAGCCAGGAAAACCTATGTTTTCAAAAGAAAATCTGGTTCTAGATGAACGTTTGAAGAAACGTCAGATGTGCCCAAAAGAAAAAAAATATCCACATCTGAGAGAAAAGCAGAAATTGAGGTCATCTCCTCTAAGATAAATTCAATCAATGAGAAGATTGCACAACAGCAAAAACAAATAGATAGAGCTAGTTCAACAAAAGATTTTTCTCATTGTACAAAATTACATATTGAGCAAAGAAACATGATAAAAGATCTTCGAAAAATGCAAAATAAGCTGGCAACTTTGCAAAGCAAGCAACGGAGGCATGAGACATATTTGAAAAAGAAAAATGTTAGTGAAGGAGGCAATGAGTTCGCTTTTAGTGGATCAGAAAATACCACTCAGAAAGATATCAGGTGGTTCACAATTGATGCAAAAGAAAGTCACACCGTCAGCAAAAGCTCCTGTGGAAACAAAAACATAAAATCGCCACAAAGTGATGATACTTTGATAGTAAGCAGTGATGAGGAAAGGCTAGGTGACGAAAGCGAAAGTGAAAGCGAAATTAATTTTGCACATGACAGTCTTGATGATTCTTTTGATGCCAAAACTAGGAAACAAAGCAATGAAACCATTGAAGAAAATATAAATTATAATGTTCAAGAGGAGAAAGAGTTGGATTCAGCGATGAAGAATAGTGAAAATCAAGAGTTTCACGCGGTTGAAGCAATTTTAGATATGGAGTCACAGCCTGGAAGTGTTAATAACATATTAAGTATCTCTCAACGAAATGAGGAATCGTCATCGTCCGTAGTCAATGAATGCCTAATGAAAGAAGATGGCACTTCTTTTTTATAAATTCGGATCCCCTAAGAGCGAAATTAGGGGCTTGTACAGATAAAACAGTGACTGAACTTGTTCATATTCTTGCAACACAGGAGAAGAGACAACTTTCTAACATTAATTCTCCGAACGTCTTAGACTTTGTTAAGGTTAGTTTAATGGATGGATTGACTTTATCGGAATATCAACTGGCTAAAAAGCCAGATGTATGCAGGTGCACCGTGTAAATAGTAATGAATGTTGTGTTAAATGTTCGTTTGCAATCAATGCAGCAAATTTAGTGCTTCAGAAAAACGTCGTTTCGCTCTCACAATTGTGGAATAAGTGTTTACCAAACGTTCCTTATAAATCTGATAAGGCTCAGCGAAGAATTCGGCAAATGCCTGTATGCCTACTGAATGTATGTAAGACAATCTATGTTGTTGAGAAAATTAAAAGAAGTGACGAAGAATACATATCAATAAAGAACGATATACAATCGAATGCAGTTGCAAAAGAAAGATCTTACGTTACGTTTGAGGAGTATAATGCATTACTTTCTGTAACACAGAGTGAAACGGATAGGAAAATATTAAAACACACGTTGTGCAGTACTCAAAATCTATCCTGACGTCAAGCAAATAAAATGTATGGTATAAGCGACCTTAAGATTAGACGACGGTTAGTGGAGATGACGGTAACCGGAAATGAATTGAACTATTGAGCATGCGCAGTAAATGTTTTGAAAGAAATTGCTCCGTCCACATCACGACGACGACGCCATTTTTGCTGTTTTGCCGTTCACTAGAAAACGCCTCTTACTTTTCATGGATCCAAAGCCGTAAGTTTATTAATTTTTGTCTTTCTCGATTTGATGGAGAAATATGATTTTCCTGTGTGAGTTTTTCGTCGAATCAATGTGTAAATTTCGATTTTTCCTTGTATCTTTTAAGGAGGCAAATGGTTTGGTCGCGAGACCATGACGAGCTGTTGTGCAGGGAAATCCTGGTCGTAGATCCCTTTACAGGCACAAGGCGAAGGACAGTACAGAGGGGCACTAAATGGAATGAGATTGCACAAAATCTCAACAGCGTTCAGCACGTATCGTTCCGAGTCAACCAAAGGTCTGTGAGAGAAAGATACAACTTACTTGCAAGAGAATTTCGAAAGAAAACGAAGGACGAAGAATCGGCCAGTGGCATCGAAATTGATGACGTTAGTGAAATCGATAAGGCCCTTGAGGATATCGTAGAAGTTGAAGATGCAGCAGATCAAAATCAGCAGGATGTTACTGAGCAAAAATTGCAAAAAGAAAATAAAGATCGAGAAGATGCTGAATCGATTCGATTAATGGCCATGGAGACGTTGGGTGAAACTCAAAAACGAAAACTCGTTGATAATAAAGCCAATAAACCAGTAAAAAGGCGATCAAACAGCAGTGATGCAGTTAATTATTTGAGGGAAAAATCTGCTGTAATGAATGAGTGGAAAAAAGAAGAGTTAGATTTGCAGAAACGGAGGCTGGAAGCTGATAGCAAGAAACATGATGAACTCATGCAAATGATGATGAATCAACAACAAATCCAACAACAACAACAAAAGATACAAAATGATCTTATTCTGACTTTGTTAACACAGCTGAGCCATAGAAAGTAAGCTATGACAAACTATTATATATAAAAGTGTTCATATTCCATTTTAGCTTGGACTATATTGAAATATAGTTTCTAAAAACTGTTAGTTTTTACATAGTATTTAAAAAAAAACAGTGAACATTGTTTTGTTATCTATGAAGTCTGAGATAACTAAACGTTTAAGGTTATATGGTTTTAATATTGTACTGTACTTTACAGAGTGTGCAATAAATGTTTTATCTACAATGTCTTTAGTCAATAGTTCCCAAAATACTCTTGTAGAGTGGGAGGGCTTAGACCAAAATACTCTGAGGTTTGATTTCCATAGAGGCAAGTTAATGCATTGCGTAGTATTGCACAAACAATATACATTTTCCCAACACAGCTCAGGCCAATTTTTAAATTCTTTTTAAAATCCATGAATTTAAAATAGTTCACGATGTCTCCAAAAAGCCATTCAACTGCTATGCGAACTTTGCTCATAGATTTGTTGAATTCTTTCATCGGCTGAGTTAAAACAGCATTTCTGAATGGAGCCTGCAGGTGTACCCTTAATGGGTAAGCTGGGTCTCCATATAGACATAGAGGTTGGCCTTCTTCAGTAAAGCAAAATGTTTGAAGTTGGTTTAGTAGACCAGATTGTGCAAGCATAAAAGAGTCGTGCCTTCTTCCCTCTGAACAAATTAGAAATAATGCACCATCATGTATATACATAGTTAACCCAAGAATAAACCATGCTAAATTGATCTTTAAAAATAAACAAAAAAACTGCTCAAAACCTACTCACCCATAGGTCCATACAAATGACCAATCATTCCATTTGGCAGAGCAACAGATTGAAATTTAATAGCATGGACACGTTTGTGACCATTGTAGACAGCTCTTTGCAGTTTCCCTGGCCGACAAATTGCTCGGACAGTTCCATCAATAAACCCAACACAGTTATTGAGTGCAGCTCCTTTTAAAAAAATAGAACTAGCATAATCTTTTAGATTATCAGGGCTGAAAAGCATTTCATTCCAGTGAGAAACTCGGTGGCCGTGGTGATCATAAATGTAGTCTACAACTACATTTGTGATCATGCTCAGTTCAGGAACTGCCCTGCCAAACAGTGGTATCATGTCCGAGTATCTGCAAGGATAGGCAAAGCGTCTCAGAACAGCACATAATCCTTCAAGACCATCTGCCTTCGTTCCTTGAGGACATTTAAAATATTCAGGTATACCAAGAGCTTCAGCAAGCTCAGGTATATCATTTTTTCTGAATCGCAGCTCAGCTTCGCATTCAGTGTTTTCCAACTTTTCCAGACAAAATCTGCCGTATTCTTGGTAAGGAAACGCTGGATTTTTGGAAAAATTACTATCATACAACAACACAAACTCTTCGTCGTCGATAATGTTATCAAAATAGCTTTCAACTAAAAATTTTCTGGTCTTTTTGAAAGTTGTCATTTCGATTTTTGTGAATTCCCCGTCGTCTGTTTATTTTTTAATCTTAAATTTCCCGCCCTCAGACGACGACGGTAAGGCTAGATCCAGTCCGTAACAACCGTCGTCTATTATCCGTCGTCTAATCTTAAGGTCCTAATAAGTAAACTGAAAAAACGAGCTAGTGAAATTGAACAAACTACCAAAGAAATGAAACAAATTAGGACGAGACATGCTGAATCCATAAAGTCTGACCAAAGACAGTTCTTACTTTCATGTGGGGCAAATGTTCATGAGTTTTTATCAAGTAGTTCGCAATCGTCTGATGAAACAGATGTTGAAGAGAGTGACGGTGAGGACAGTGGTAACAACTTTATTGAGAAGGATTTCATGAGTGAAGATTTAATGAACGCGAACGCTCTACGTCTTACAGAAGATGTAACCAATGAAAATGATCTTAAGACAGCTGTGTCGCTACTAAGGGAAGTTTCTTTTAATTGGTTTTCTTTTCTCATCTTACTACAATCAAAATTTTCATGTAAAGACTTTTCAATGGACTCGTTTCTCATAAAATTTTCCTCGCAACTACGACAACTTGGATTTAGTGAGGAAGAAGCCTTGCTTATTGGTCAATCAAGACTTGCCTATCTTGAAACACTAAAAGAAAAGGAACAAAATTATGAAACCGTTGCATTTTCGTCAACTGACTCGAGTTCGGATGATACAGACTCAGACAGAAAGAAGTAACAAACTTCGAAAAGGAGAAAATACAAACTAAGCTCAGACAAATCAAAGATAAAGGACGGAAAAAAATGTTAAAAGAGGCACATGAAAGAAGATTTCTTCGCAGAAAAATCTCAAAATCAACGAAGAGTATCACCGACACATATCCAGATATTGGGGAAGTAATCGAGCAGATAGTTCAAGAAAGTGACGTTGGAGCAGACCAGTGGCGTCGGACAGGTGTTTACACTTTCTCCGGAGATATCAAGACTGCAAAACGAATGACGTTTGGTAAAATTAAAAATAAGCTGCAAGAACATTACGGGAGGAATTTTGGATATGGAACTGTTGTTCAACTATGTACACCAAGGCACAAACGACATTTATCATCTAAGCGTTACAAAGGCGTTGCTAATGTGAGGTATGCAAGGGCTAGAAAAGGTTTCACAATTAAATTTAATCCAGATTACAAGTGGAGTCGTTCCATGTACAAGGCGTTGGACCAACTTCAAACAGATGGAAATCATATATTACTTGTAAACCGGGACGACCAAGCCGGCTTCCGACTGGATACTACTTTCACGCACAAAAACCTTCCAGCATTATCTGTTAAACCATCAATAACCACAAGAACTGATTTCGTGAATAAATACCCAGCACAGCTTCAAGTAACGAACTACAACTTTTCAAAAACAACAACAACTACTGAGACTTGTGTCGGAGTCGTTAAGGCAACTGGGCTGCACGAAAAATCTCCAGCACAGCATGGTGCTGATATGTCAGTACTGGAAAAAATGTCAGTCTTAAAGCCAGTATTTTTTAATTCAAATTCGGAACCCAAAGATATAGAATGCATCCGAGTAGATGGTGCAACCGACAAAGGACCTTCGCACGTGGAGGTTCAATTCATTTGGACTGAGCGTCACGTTAGTAGAAAAAGCAAAGTTACACTTGTCACCACAAGATGCAGTGGTGACAGCTATTTAAACAGGGTCGAGCTGCAAAATGGATGCCTGAGCCGTGGTCATTCTAATTTGTTTATACCCACTACTTTAAAGGGCTCGCAATATTCCAAAAATTGGGAATTTGACCAAGAGAAATACAAGGAGAATATGTCGTCCGCGCTGGAACAGTATATAAGCCGTGTTGATGGTGTCGCCTGCATGAAGACTGTGATTAATTTAGTTAGAGGGGCAGAAAGCCATATCTTTTTGACAAGAAGAAAACAGCTGCTAACATTTTTGAAAGGTTCCAAAGAAGAAAAGCAAAAACTGAAGCAAGAAGATCCCACTATGTATGCTTACTTTTCAGAAATCTGGGAAGTACGGAATAATCATATCGATGAGAGTTTGCCAAACAAATATGTGTTTATGTTAAGATGCTGCAGCAGAAGTGAATGTCCTCATCCTTTGTGTCAGCAAGGTATTGTGTGCACATGCGTTTACTTGTTGACTTTTAGAACTGAAGATCTTACATCATTTTTTCTGACAGCCTCGTTAGAAAATGCCAACCAGAGTACAAAACCTTTCACATCTGCCTTATGTTTCTGTGGTGATCATGGGAATGATAAAAAGTAAGTCCACAATATATTTCTGTCCATAACCATGTACGTGTAGTTTGTATTTTGCAATTTGTGATTTATTCATGAAAGTGGCATCGTTCTGTTTTAAAGATTCATGGTCTGCTGTGATCAATGTGGGCAGTGGTTTCACGGGGAATGTATGGAGATTACAGAGAAAGAAGCAAATACTATCGAAAACTACGTATGCAGTCTATGTAAAGAAAACGGTAAGTACTAGCTAGTTGCAGATTAAGTGCAAGGTCTGTATCAAACCCTAGACTTGCATGGCGTATTGACCGGGGGATAGCAGGCAATTGAAGTTTATACTAGTATAAGTTGTTTCCATTATATATATAGCACTTTGTCAACAAGAGAAGAAGTCCATTGATCACGTAAAAGTTAATTTTAGCGCAGCAACTCAAATTAACAATTTTGTACTGTATTTAGCTGGCTCAATTTCAAGACCAACATTCCGATAAATTACCCAATATGTTAAAATTCTTTTATTCATGTTTTTGCTGGTTAGGAATAAGAGACCTGCCTATCCCTACCCACTGGTTTCCGAACGGTCCATCATGCAGTTTCTTCCCATATCCAGTTGCGGATATGTTCAGACCATGGAGGGGAAATTGTGAAACTTGCGAAGGTTCTTGTTTCGGTCATTATGTTACAGACATATCTCAGCTTGTACAACTACATGCCCGTGGAGAGGCAATACGATCGCGACCACCTAGTGAAATAATATCTGACTTCCACAAAGGATTAAATGGGCAACTTTCCGCAGAGACGGAAATTGAAAATATAGCGAGAAAATGTTTATTGTCACCTGATGAAGTGCATCTTTGGCTTGATCATCTATCACAAGTCGCCATAAATAGAAAAAAGGGTGCTCAAAAAGCCAAGGAAACCAGAAAAAAGAAGAAGAAAACATAAATCTGCAGATGCAGTTTGGTCTATAGTTCAATTTCGTTAACAATTTTGTATTTTAAATTTTGATATTGAAAATTGAAATTTAAGAAAAGTTTTTGTCAACTTGACTCTTGTTGTGTTGCAAGCAGTGTTTTTTCTTGTTTTTTTTTTTACTTCAAAAATCGAGGTAAACATTTCCAGCTTATAGCAAGTTGCCCCGGGGTGAGGCATTTCCCTCTTCATCCTTGCTCGGGGGAGGGGTTTTTGCGCTTGACACCATGCCCTGCGGTAGGGATTTTGCTGCATATTTTTCAAAAAATTACAATGTCCGGGGGTATTCCCGGGGGGGGGGGGATGGTTACCGTTGGAATTCACTCATGCATAATCGTTCTGGAAAGAACGATTCAACTTTGCACAAAGTATTACAACTGACATTATATCAAATAAATTCCTTCAAATCTAGTTTCACCCTAGAATTACACCCTAGAGTATTTATATTAAAGGCCCGTTTACAGTTGCAACTTTTTCTGCGATTCTATGTGAGATTTTCTTCTTTTGAAAAATGCAAACAAGTGGATATGTCACAGATGTTCAAATAACAGTGATAAGACACGATACTTTCATAAATCTTTTACTGTGCGTGCGTTTATATGAATAAAATGAATCAAATCGGTAATTTTACAATGTTTAAATCAATTCTGATAACAGCACGATATTATATCGATTGTAACAAGAGCGTGTCCGATTATAGTACAATATTGACCCGATGATCCGATTTCCGCCATTTTCCGACCTCGGGATTAGCCAATCACAAGCCGGACTAGTTTCCTGTCTTTAGCCGCAAGTCAGTCCTTCAAAAGACCTCATCTTGGACAGGTTTGTTAAATTCCATCAACCAAAAGTAGGTTTTGAAAATATTTGTTAGATATTACTTGAAGTACCTCTACAAGGAAATAAGCTTAGCTTCCATACACGCAAAAAAATCATCAATGTTGTTGCAACTTGTTACAACAACATTGCATCAACATTGATGATTCAAAAAGCTTCAACAACATTTTTAACAATACTGTTCCCAGGGTGCAGCACAACATTGTTCACTCCTGATGCGACAACCTGATCAATTTTTGGCCGTGTATATTGCAGGCACACCATCATTGCATAATGTGCACATATGTGATCAACAGGCGTTATAGGGTTAACTTTGGTTCCTCTGCTAGTTTCACTTAAAAACAAAATTAAGCCTTTCCATTTTTGCTATTTTGGTGCAGATATCCAAACTTGAAGCATGTCTGTTACTGTGCACATTCAAAGACCTTATAACAGAGTTGAATGCTTCAAATCTAAAAAAGATAGAAATACTTCTTGAATGTAATTGTGTGTGTAATATTACTTGTGTATTTCTGTTTTAACCACCTTGCCTGTGTTACAAGTTCATTGTTATTCCTACTAAAAACTGAAAATCAATGTATAGCAACATAAAATTACATGTGTTCAAGAGGGTTAATTTTGTATTA